CCTGAAAAGAAACTCAAAATGCTTTCCTACTTGAAGGTTCAGAGATATGCAGGCATGCCCACTGAATGGGGAGAGAGGGAGCACCTCAGATGACAAGAAAAAGTAAGATTCCTGAGCATGAACACATTCTGGAGAATATGGAGTCAGGCACAATGAGTGCCTCAGGGTCAAAAAAATGTAAGTTCTGGGTCACAGAAGAGCATTCCCACCTAACCACTCTGGCCACTCGTCAGTATCTAGGGAGGAAAGCATTGTGTGTGGAAGGGCTAAAGAAGCTGAAATCCCTAGGGGTTCAAGCAAGTCTAGTGTAGTCCCCTGGAATAGCACAGCACAGAGGAGTGAGGCCATTTCCTTGTTTCCTGGCAGAAGAACTTGGACAGCAGGTATCCCAGGGAAGAGCAGTGGTGCTGAATAGTCCACAGCCCTGGGACAGAACTGAGGCCCTGACAGGTGGAGCAGAAGAGCAAAGCAATTGCCCAAGGTCAAAGAAGACTCACAACGTGGCTTAGAAATGACTGTGGCTGTGGAGCCTCTGGTGCCCAGCCGGAGCCCCTCAGGAGGCCGTCACTGGCAAAGAGGAGGTCTGGGCGAAGGGGCCTGGGGCAGCCCAGGGCAGCTGCAGGGAACCTAGAAAGCAGGATCCAGACGGCGTCACCACAGAGGCACAGGCAGTAGCCCGGGTGGATCCTGGAACACTCTGAGACACCTCCTTGGGTCTACCAGAAAAACTAGAGGAACGGAAATAGCCTGGGAAGAAACTGACTGCAGTCCGCAGCTGAGCAGATGAGACCTAATACGCCGAAGCACTGAACTGATGATTTCAGGCAGTATTCACGCCATGTCTGTAAAGAGCATGTTACTGTTCAAGGTGAATTTCGAATTTTAAATTGGAAATCAGGAAAAACTGCTAAAAATACGTTGAAGTTTTTAAAAATCAACCTAACATACAGAAAATTTCTAACCTAGGAAGCACATTGATTTTAAAATATTGCCAGTGAGACTTCCTTGTTTATAAATAAATCACCTGCACTCCTTATAGGTCCACAGATGAATTCCCCCCACCACTTCCCAGAAACCAATTCTACTTGCATTTGAAATCCCAAGGTACCAATTCCTCCCACTCCAGGTGCTCAGCCTCTATGAAGAATGGGTTCCCAGCAGCTCTGTAAGAGGCCTGTGGCCTTGGGAAGGTGAGGAGCCAGAAGTGGCCATTTGGAGACTAAATTTTCAGCATGGGCCCCCATTAGGGATGTACCCTGGAACTGAAACAGCCCACATCAGTGTGCTTCTTCCAGTCCCAAATCAAATGGACCTGCCAACTTCAGGCTACCGAAGTTATTAATGCACAGTGACAGCAGAATTGAACTGCTTTTCACTGCAGCTCAGCGCCAAGGCCTGAGTAGAAATAATCCTTTTATCTCCCAATAAAGGAGAATTACCGGCATCTTGTAGCCCAGCTCTCTCTGAAGAGCCATCTTTAGAAGCCAGAGGCTTTGCATTTCCTGGAATGGTCAGATTAAAGATGCTTTTCCCTGATCTCTGGGCAGGTAGTTGATTATATTGTCACCCCGTTGCCCTGTGGAAAGCACTGCAAGCTTCCATTTTAAAGAGATTTCAGAGCACAAATGTCATTCTCAAAAACTTTTCCGAAAGACCAACTTAGCCTGCAGAGCCATACTGTTTAGGGGCCAGCTGTTGCCTAGGAACAGCCAGTGGGGACATTCTGAAAGAATATCATTTGGTCTGCTGTCTTCTTTACTTGCCCCCCATGGGAATAATCTCACCCTGATCATTTTCTGCTTTACATAATTCTTACACAGATAACAACCTTGTATAATAGACAATCAAATGTAGTCATCCCTTCTGTTCACTTCCATAAAGTTGGCTCACCTTCCACCTGAAATACTGTTGAAACTGCATCCGTCTCTACTGATGGCACATCCGACATCCCCAGCATGGGGCTTGGCTCATTGAATATATTATTTTATGTTAATCTTCAAAGTAACTCTGCGAATTAGGTGTTCTACGCCTCGATTTTTAAATGGAGAAACTGAAGCTGGGAACTTTAGACCATCTGCCTAAGGTTACACAGTTAGTAGGTGGTAGAGACGGAAGGTGCATATTCCAGTCTGATCTTACAGCCTGTGTCCTTCCCAAGATCCCATCCTGGAAATCAAGGTTTCTCGCCCTTGACACCTTTGGCATTTTGGACGGGATAATTCTTTGTTGTAGGGGCTGCCCTGTGCATTGAAGGATGTTTGTCAACATTCCCGGCTTCTGCCCACTAGACGCCAGTAGCACACACGCACATACAACTGTGATACCCAAAAATGTGTCCCTTGCCGAAAGTTCCCTGTAAAGCAAGATCACCTAGTGGAGAATCACTGCTCTAAATGTTCTGAAGCATTTGCTTTCTTACAGAGCTGAGGTTTCATGGTCCCAGGAAATGCACAGAATGATTTGAAGACCCTAGATAGTATTTAGGAGGGTATGCTTTAAGAAATATTATTAATTATAATAAGCATTTTAGGCTGGGTGTGGTGGCTCAAGCCTGTAATCCCAGCACTTTGGGAGGCCGAGGCGGGTGGATCATGAGGTCAAGAGATCGAGACCATCCTGGTCAACATGGTGAAACCCCGTCTCTACTAAAAATACAAAAAATTAGCTGGGCATGGTGGCGCGTGGCTGTAATCCCAGCTACTCAGGAGGCTGAGGCAGGAGAATTGCCTGAACCCAGGAGGCGGAGGTTGCGGTGAGCCAAGATCACACCATTGCACTCCAGCCTGGGTAACAAGAGCGAAACTCCATCTCAAAAAAAAAAAAAAAAAAAGCATTTTAGCTATTTGCACCTAAAGAGTCCCTATTCCTGTTACTCTTGAAAATCATCTGTCCTCTGCGGTGAGTAAATGTTCACAAACACCCAGAAGCTTCAATGGCCTGCTGCCACCTCAGGAGTTCCACCCAAACTCCTCACAAAGACATTTGAGGCCTCCCCAGTTTGTCTTCAGTCCTCTTCTCCGCTCTCAAACCCCACACATTTGCAGGCTCCAGCCAAGCAATATGACTCACTGTGGTTAAAACGCATCCTACATCTTCTTGTTCCATGTCTTGGCTGAGGATGTTCACTCTCTGCTTCCACCTCCCCCAATCCCACGCTGCACCCTGCCTTTGTTTTGGAACCCTTCTTATGTCATTTGAGTTCACCTGATGCTCTCTGCCTCTCCCACACAGCCTCACCAGCACAGCGGTGCAGGGATGGGTCTCTCCTCTGTCCACAGTTGGTTTCCATCTGTCTTAGTCCATTTTCTGATGCTATAACAGAATACCACAGGCTGGGAACTTTATTTCTTTTTAAGAGATTTATTTGGTTTATGGTTCTAGAGGCTGGGAAATCCAAGAGCAGGGTGGCTGCAGCTGGCAAGGGTCATCCCATGGCACAAGACAGAGGGTGAAAGTGAGCACACAAGAGATAGAAAGTCAAGCCAAACTCGTCCATTTCATGAGAAGCCCACTTCCACAATAATAGCAATAATCTATTCGTGAGGGCCCTGGTGGCCTAATCACCTCTCAAGGACTCTACCTCCCAATACTGTTACAATGACAATTGAATTTAAATATGAGTTTTGGCAGAGACATTCAAACCACAGCAGCATCTCTCTCATCTCAACCGGTTTTATGGAGAGTGTGGTCTTGTACACTGGATTGAAAATTCTTAGAGAACAAGAACTCTATTTCAGCCCTTCTAGTCAGTCCTTATCTCTTAGCAGATATGCTATGCTTGTGGGGTTGGGCAAGATCAGATTGGAGGTGGGATTGAATGAATATTGCAAATATGTAAACATCTGACTGGTTTCCATGGGCATTAAAATAAATTTCAAACGTGAGAGCCGCGCGGGGCAGGAGGACAATGGTGCACAGCAGACTGCCTTTCTAGTGCACAGCTACCCTGCTCCGTGTGACATGCATGCACTGGGTGGGCCTCTGACCAAGGCCACCACTGGGTTTGTGCCCATTGAGCCTCACTGGGTGGCTCCTGGCTGAGAGGTGTGTGGCCTGGCATCCTCTTCATATTTCCCTCACTGAATATGTGCCCTAGGCAGGCCTGCGCTTATCAGAGGAAGTGTCCTTTTTCTGAATTTTCACAAAGGTGGCATATGGGCTGGTGGAAGCCCTGACAGTAAAAACTCTTCCATGAGGAAAAGGACACTGCATCTGACATTTTTATCCCCGAATTTACAGGTAACCACTCCTTTAACTAAGGGCTGTGGCATTGGGTCCTGCCTAGCCTAATCCTATCCCCTTGTTTTACTGCCACTTAACTGACGAGAGGTGGATATTGCTTATTGATTCGTTCAACACATTTGTATTAGTCGTTCATATGTGTATAGGCTACAGGAGCACAGAAAACAAAGCCCCTGCCCTCATCAAGCTTGTATTCTAGTGGATTCTTGTATTCACCCCTCAGTGGTCAGCATCAGACAGCAGCCCACATATGAACAAAAGAATGTCCAGGCTGCTACTTTGGAGAGTTCTGATACCCCTAGACTGAGCTTTGCTTGAGAGTGCTTTTTTGACCAATGTGTTTGTCTGGGGCAGCCATTTTAGAAAATAATTTTGCCCAGGTTGCTAAAGTGGCCACATGGGTGTCTCAGCATAGCCAGGGCTCAGAGGATAGTGCTCCTCAGGGAAGGGCTCAGTTCCTACGTGGTCACATGCTCTAATTCCAGCTACAACTAGCTCAGGCCATCTGACCAAGATTCTCGAGAGAGTCTGAGTATTCCATAGCATTTGCATATACTATTAAGGTGTAAACTGAGCATTCTCTAGAAAGCAGCCCAGAACTATCTTTAAGAATTTCCAAGGGCCATCTGGGCATAAGTGCACAGGATATAAGTGAAAACTGGAGAACTGGAGTCTAACCTTTAGTGTTCCTATTGGCAGAAACAGACACTGTCACATCTTGAACACTTCTCCTTACTATTCCCCTCTTGTATCTACAGATGGGAAACTGTGCAGCCGCTACAACCGAGGACCCATTTCAAAGGCGAAACTCAAGGCTATCAAGTACAGCATCGTCATCATTCTTGGTAAGCAACGTCCCTTCTTGAGCTGTAAAGTGGTATGAGCATCCGAAAGCAGGCTTGCTCCTGGACCTGGTGGCAGAAAGGAATTTGTCGGTGGGCACTTCTACAGTGGTCTGAATGGAAAGGAATGTGTGGAACCCATCAGGCCATCCATGGTTCTTTCAAAGGCTGAAACTTGGTTCCTAATCCCTCTCCTTATGAATACAGCTGCCTGCCAAGGCCATGGGTTGAATGATTTGGAGAAAATCTGATTAGGACCTAACTAGCTGGAGGGGATGCTCACAGCACCTGCTAACTCAGTTACCTCCTTTAAGACACACTCTTCCCCAGGGCTGGAGTTCATGAGCAAAAAGAAGGCAGAAGTGGCTTTCCATGTCTTCTGAACATTTAATGTCAGGGTCACTACGAATTCCTCCCCGATGGCACCTTACCCGCCCTTCCACCCTCCTGTCTTCTGCCCTTTCTTTTTCCTTTCTCTCTACTCTTAAGCCCCATAAAGTCGCCTTGCACCATCGCCTGTCTGAAATACTCTGCTCTCCAGTGGTGACCTGGCATACTTCCAAACCTCATTTGTTCCCCAACAATGCCACCTCCCTGAGGGCTCCATGACTAGTCTTTTTAAATATCCTTTCTCTAGTCTTTACTCTGCCTTATTTTTCTTCTTGTTTCTACCCGGCACTATAGGATATGGACTGATTTTCTTATTGTTTATCTCCCAGGCTGGAGTAATAAATTTATGAGGGCAATTACTTTGACTTTTGTGTGACTTACATTATCACCAAGACCTAAAATAGTGTCCCCCACACACTGCTCAACTAACATTTGTTAAATGAATGAATGAGTGCATACAAATATGCAGGAAGGAAAGAATTGGTGCTATTTTCTTTTTTATTCATCTTAAATACCCACTACTTGCCCCTCTGTCAACTCTTGGAAGCCCCGAGGAAGCATAGGTCTCCATTAGCTGCATGTCAAAGCACCAGAACAGTCTTCTCACCTTTCTAAAACACAACTGCAAAATGCCAAACAGACCACACGCAGCATGACTCAGCCAGCAGGACGTGGGCACCAAACAACACTGCAGGCGGAACTGGGATAAAACATATACAACCCACCAGGCCTCGAAACTTTCTCAGCGGCTTCTGAAGTAGATCAAAGACTCCTCTGCCTTCCCAGATAGTCGGAACCACAGAGGCACGTTCCCTGGTTGTTGAGTTGGAAGACGTATGCTGACAAGTGTGTCCCAGAGCCAGCATAGCCCTTCGTCATCAGCAGCCATACTCCCAGGCCCTGTGGGATCCCTTCAGTCAGCAAGCAGGGACACCCACTAGAGGCTCAGCAAGTGTCGTCAGCCCCGTCAGACCAAAAGGGCCCTTTCTATAGCAAACAGTTTGTAACGTCCCTTTCCCATCTTGAAATAAAATGCATACTTATACCACCTACCATGGTAACTAAAAATATTAGGCCAGGCATGGTGGCTCATGCCTGTAATCCCAGCACTTTGGGAGGCTGAGGCAGGCGGATCACAAGGTCAGGAGTTTGAGAGCAGCCTGACCAATATGGTGAGACCCTGTCTCTACTGAAAATACAAAACTTAGCCAGACACGATGGCATGCGCCTGTAGTCGCAGCTACTCGGGAGGCTGAGGCAGGAGAGTCGCTTGAATCGGGAAAGTGGAGGTTGCAGTGAGGTGAGATTGCACCACTGAGCTCCAGCCTGTGTGACAGAGCGAGACTCTGTCTCAAAAAAAAAAAAAAGTTGCCCCCAAAATAATATAAAGGTAATATAAAGGAGGAATACAAATATAATCTATAATAAAACAATACAATTTTTGTTAATTAAAATTTATTCTAATTTTAATATGTAAAAGCGTAAGCACAGCTACACTAGAAGAGTAAGGAAGTGGCGATCCCTACACCCGGACGTAGTAACGGCTGTGAATGGAAAGCAATACAGGTGTATTTTCATGGAGATGTAAAGAAACGTAAGCAGCATTGCTGTCAGTGGCTTGATTTTCTGAGCTGCAAAAAAAAAATCCCTGTAAGTTGTTGAATTAAACAAAGTAATCTTTCCTCCATTTGGAACAGAATTGCATGTCTAGAAAATTCCGTATTTGTTTAAAATATCTGTGTTTATGTGTAAAACAAAGTCAGGTCCCCACATGGACGTCTAGTAGGGCATTCACCGTAGATACAAATGTTTGCTGGCTGGGCTGCCTGCACCATGCCAGAGGACTGGCATCGCTGTGACAACTAGAATCTGCCAACCTCACATACACACACAAGCACACACACGAGCACATGAGGCCATTTGCCCCCTTAGTGCCCCAGACACTTTCAGGGCCAACGTCTGAGTTAATTAACCAGGATGCAGAACACCCAGTGGGCTTTGCGTTGGAACTGCTCCTCTTCAACACATTGCCAAGGTCCGGGATCAAGAAGGGAACCATGAGTCGGTTTATTATTCCAAAATTCCCCAACAAGTTACAGAATCCGCATTGCAGAGTTGTGGAGGAAAGTTTGTCCCCGCATGCAGAAAGCCGAGGAAGACAAACTTCTACTCTGAGAAAAAATTCTACAGATAAGAAAGTGGGAGAAGGAGAGTGGAGGACACATGGTGAGAAGATGAGAGAGGCGTGTTGTCCAGTCAGCTTGCGAGTGTTTAGCTCTGTGTAGTAGTCTGTGTCCTCCAGAGGAAAATGAAAGAGAGAAGTTTATTAGAAGGAATTGGCTCAGGTGATCACTGAGGCTGAGACTTCCCAAGCCATGCAGTTGACAGCTGGACACACAATGGTGTAGGTTCTAGTCCAAGTCTGAGTAGACAGGATGGTGTACTTTTCAGTGTGATTCCAAGTATGAGGGAAGGGGAAGGCCAATGTCCTGGCTCAAAGACAGGCAAGCAGAGTGAATTTTCTCTCTTAACGTTTGTCCGCGACCCAAACCTGCAACACATTGGATGGGGCCTGCACGCAGGGAGGGCAATCTGCTTTTCTCACTCTACCAGTTCAGGTGTTCCTCTCATCCAGAAACATCTTCATATGCACCCAGAATAGTGTTTAACCGAATCACTCCACACCCCAGTCAAGAAGTCTCAAAATTAACCACCATGTTCTAATCCCCACCTTTCATCCATTTGAGAATTTAGAGCCAAACAAAATTAGGGTCTCACATAAACCAGTGGATTTAGAGAAGGGTATTGTGTGGATGTTTTCTGGAGAGACCAACTTAGAGGTGAAGAAAAACCGAAAACAGTGTGATTAAACCGGGCGGTGCTTTGAAAAGATTGTCATCACCCTTCTCCCTCCACAACCCAAAACCTGTAGTCACTGTGTGGTCCAAATGCTTCCTGCCCTTCTGTCTTTTCCTAGAGAGTCTTCAAAGTATTTTGCTGTTTTTTCCTGATCCCTGTGTTGGATGAGGGGCTCTGTTCCTGAGGTGTCTATAACGAATCCACAACAGTAGAATTCTTTACCAACAGGGAAGCTCTGCGACCTTTGCTCAGTCTTAGGAACATGTCTGCAAGATGTGTCCATATGTATGTGTGTATGTGTTTAAGTGAATAGGACATCCATGCTCTAAACAGCATGTAACCTCAGTTTTTCTGAGAAATCCCAGACCCCAAAGAACCTCCAGGTAAAAGTCCAGTCAGGACCAACCAGAAAGACCTGCTGCCTGCCGTGGTGCTGATGGCTCTCTTCCCCCGCAGCCTTCATCTGCTGTTGGAGCCCATACTTTCTCTTTGACATTCTGGACAATTTCAATCTCCTTCCAGACACCCAGGAGCGTTTCTATGCCTCTGTGATCATTCAGAACCTGCCGGCATTGAATAGCACCATGAACCCCCTCATTTACTGTGTCTTCAGCAGCTCCATCTCCTTCCCCTGCCCGTAAGGGGAGCTCTTGCATGAGTCAGACACCCTGATGGCCACTGCACTGGGATTCCACCAACACGTGGGTTTCTCATGTCCAAGCTCTCCGGTAGGTTACAGAATGCCCCCCCCACAACCTTTTTTTTTTTTTTTCTTTTTAGACAGAGTCTCGCTCTGTTGCCAGGCTGGAGTGCAGTGACATGATCTCAGCTCACTGCAGCCTCTGCCTCCCAGGTTCAAGTGATTCTCCTGCCTCAGCCTCCTCAGTAGCTGGGACTGACTGCAGGTGAATGCCACCATGCACCACTAATTTTTGTATTTTTAATAGAGACATGGTTTCACAATGTTGGCCAGGATGGTCTTGATCTCTTGACCTCGTGGTCCACCCACCTCGGCCTCCTGAAGTGCTGGGATTACAAGCGTGAGCCACCGCACCCAGCCAGAATCCTCCCTTTATAGATGAGGGGCTTGGGACTCAGAAAGATTCCACGAATGTGACTGATTTAAACCCTGGCCCAGGCCACGGCCAGCGTGCTTTTCCTTACACCACAACCCCTCCTCTAGCAAGCACCTTAATCATGACACATCTGGAAGACCATGCTTTGTTCAAAGCGTCTTCACGTGAATTGCCTCAATACAATTCTACGGCAATAACAGAACATGGAGCCTTATCAGCATTTTACAGATAAACAAAGTAAGTCTTACAGGTTTACTGACATCATGAAGGTTATGTGAATAATTAGCAGCAGAGCTGAAATCAAATCCGTCCCACAGCTATTGTCATTCTGCTGTTTCTCAGCTGTTTTCCTGCATAAGCCACAGAGGGTAGGTGGAGAATTCCATATGACACACAAGAGGAGAGCGATCTCAGTCTTGGGCGTCATGCCGGTGGTTGAGATTTACATCTTGCCACTGCTCAGTCATCGTGATGTGCGACCTTGGGCAAGTTAGTTAACCTAATAAACCTCATTTCTTCATCTGTAAAATGGGGCTAGCAGCACCGTCTACCTGTTGGCCTGTGATGTCGCTGTCCTCTGGGCGCTGGTGCTGCCCGGTGGGAAGGAGAACTGTGAGTCATTAAGAAGGAAGGTCAGGGTATTACATGTAAAGTGCCTGGCACAGTTTTGTCTGATCTTTAATACATTTTTTATAACTATTGTCTCTTAACATGTCTACTCTCCTTTTCATTAGGTCAAATTATTTCCCCCGCTGCTTCATTTTCACTTTCTCCAGGGAGCAAAGATCACAGGATTCCAGAATGATGTTCCGGGAGAGAACTGAGAGGCGTGAGATGCAGATTCTGCCCAAGCCAGAGTTCATGTAGACCCCGGGGCAGTACCAACGCTAGGCTGAGCACCGTCAGCTCTCCCAGGTCGCTGTCACCCGCTTGGGCACATGCATGGAACCTGAGCCGACTTCACCCACCCTCGCCATCACCTGGGAGATGCACAAGACAAATGTTCTATTGAGTCCATGCACTGCATTAAGTATTGGCCAACACGAACTCCCCAGTTATTCATGCCAGCCAGGAAGGAAACGCCTTCCCTCCCCACCATTCCCAGTCCTCCTTCCCACCGGCCAGCACCTGAATCCAGTGAACACAGGCATCGGTGGCCCAGGGTCCTGGCTTGGAGCCAGTGAGTAGACAGGCAAGCAGAAGGGACAAAAGTAGCAGGGTTATGCGTGAATCTTCTCACTACAATACAAGAAGAAAATAAAATACTTAATTAAGCCTAGACTTTTTGCCCGGTTTTGGATTGGAGGTTCACTGCTTGTAGCCAAGGAAGTGTTTGTCCTTGAAATGCCAACACATTCATTTTCAGGTATTGGCGCTTTGTACCTCTTCTGCAGATCGCCTTGGTTTGCCGCTGAGTGTGCTGGCAGCAGGCAAGTGCATCTCCATCAACAACTGATTTGTGGAAAGGGCACGCTGTTGGCCCTCCCGAACGAGGTCGAACAAAGGGATACTGGCTCGGTTAGAAAACAAGTTGTGTTGAAAAGCCATGGACCCCTGACTTCCAGCCTCTGAGAGCTGGTCCCTAGAACACACATGTCCTTGAGGCTGTCTGAGACCTCTTGCTCTGTATTCAACACTTGGGCCACTCTGGGCTCCATCCCTCACACCTCGAGAACAAGTCTTCCCCTTCTTAACTACCTGGACCCTCTCTTTCGTTGGGAGCTGGGTTCCTGTGGCTTTTCCAGGCTCCGTGTTTCGCTAAGCTCTTCATCGTTTTTGCTTGTCACATCCTTTGTCTAGCACCTCGGCCGGGAAGAGCTGGTGGGGCTTATTTTGACAGGTCTGGAGTATGGCACTTACGAGCATAATCCAAGTGAAATATGACTTAATGTTTTCTAGTCAATTTCTCCCATCAGATTTTCCACAAGTGGAAGTGAAATAATTTCATCTGATCATGTATACATCCCACCCACGGCTCTGGGATGCGCGTGAGCACCTTATTTTAGCTTCACATATATTCCTGACATTAAAGTCTCCTTGGCAAAATCCTCCTTCCCAGAATTATTCAGAGCTTAAATCATTTTTTTTTCTTTTTCTTTTTGGCATACTGCTAGTGGAGTCATTAAACTGTTCAGTATATTTTAATAGCACTCCATTCCTCACTGTGGTGTCAACTCAAAGTCTGCATGCTTAAGGTCATGTGGGCTGTTTTTTTTTTTTTTTTTTTGTAAACTCTCTTTTCAATTCGATCTGACCTTAGGGAAAGTATCTCTTTAAGAGGAAATCAGACTCCTCACTCACCACCTCTCCGAGAATTATTCTCTGAATTTGAGAAGCCTGAATAATCTAATTTTATTTCTACACGATACTTTTGAAGGCTGCCTCCCTCTCTGTCCAATCAGCTAAACTTGAGCAACCCTGGAAGCTTTGAAGAGTTGAGAAATGCTTTTCAACATTTCACTTTAAATCAAGATGTGCCGCAGAAGACCCACGGAACTGTTGCTAAAATAGCTGCCTGCACAGGCGCCAATTAACAGACAAAAAACTGGCGTTGTCCTAGATGGCAAAACGGGAGGACCCGGTTCTCCTGACAGATGCTTTCAATCTTTGTCAAGTCTGGTCTGCAAACTACATTGCGTGCCTACCTCATCCATCAGTAGATTATCGAAGTGAAGGAGAAATATAGTGAGGGGCGTTGTGAGCTACAGAAACTGTGAATGTGATTTCATAGTGGTGATGCTGCCTCTCTCATTTCCCATGAAGACTGAAGATCAAGAAGGTTAGGGTACAGGTTGCTGCAGGGTAATCTGCCATTTAAATGAAACTTGCTTGATAGTGGTATGAATTCTAGAACTGTCATTTCCGTGTATTTGCTGAGCTGGGGAAACATGACTTAAGCATTATGAAAATACTGGTAATTGATAGTCTTGTGACCTTCAACAAATCATTTCACACCTCTGGGCATCAGTGGTCTCATCTGCAAGATGGGGACAAAGTCAGCCTGGAGCAGAGGATCTTGGTGGTTCCTCCCAGACACAGGCTCTGAGAGTGAGAGCTTCTAGAATTCTTTCCCCAGGGGACCAATGATTCAGTGACTTGATGCTGAGTCACTTGCCCTTCAGAGGTATAACTTCCCTGTCTATCACCATGAATGCAGAGAAATATCATCTCCCAACTGAGACATGCCGTTTGAGCTCTTGGAGAAAATTAGAAGCTTGATACGGTGATGTTACTGTTTGCAGCCTTTGAGGCCCAAGTGGAATCAGAGAAGCCAGCAGAGTGGTGCCTAAGATGTCACCTAAGATGTCACTTTTTGAGAATATCAAAAAGGAATAAAAACCAAGATGTCAAAAAGTCTGTGGTTACATTACTGCATAGCTTCAGGGACTGGAGAAAATTTAGGAGAGCCAGAGTGGGTGTGCTCACTGTATTCAGCCACACTCTAGAAAATAAGTGTCTCCACTTTACTGAACTAAACTAAACGTGAATGGTAAAACCTTCTCTGCTTTCAGGGTGCACGTGGACATAATTCAGTTGAATTCAGTGAATTACTTTCACTAAGCAACATCTCCCACCTTTTTCCCCAGAAAATGGTAACACCTTTTTAATGACTTTCATTTGCGAACAATCATGAGAAAAAAGGAGTCCCTTTGAAACCAGCCCAACCGGCAGCTTAAACTTCCCGGCTTTGTTTGGAAAATTCTGTATACACATATACAGAAACGACCTTGCCTTTTCCAAGTGCATTCACAGTGCCAATCAGAAAAGGCCACAAGCCTGAGTCTGAGAGAAAAAATGGAAAACAAAAATCTTGAGCAGGAAATAAAGTGATTCTGCTCTCCTGGAATTATCTTCGGTGAGTTACTCCAAGTTATTCTTCATCGTTTCACTATTCCTAATATTATATGCAGATCGACCAGTGTTCCCTGAAGCTTCCCAGTCGCATTTAATTGAAGGGAGATGGTGTTCACTTGCCAACCTCTGTGCTTTTGGAAACATGAAAAACCCATGCCTCATTTCTCTGCAATTGCATTTAAGAATACATTATCCACAACAGGGCTGGTCCAGTTAACATTTTAAAAGTGCAATTCTAGGCTTACAGAACGTTAAAGTCGACGGGGTCTTGTATCATCTAGTCTCATGGTTTTGAGACTGCTCAGAGACTCTGAAGCAGTTCCAGGAAGGTGACTCAATATTAATATTTTTACATGGCTGGGCATGGTGGCTCATGCCTGTAATTCCAGCACTTTGGGAGGCTGAGGTGGGTGGATCACCTGAGATCAGGAGTTCAAGACCAGCCTGGACAACATGATGAAACCCCATCTCTACTAAAAATACAAAAATTTTCTGGGCATGGTGGCAGGTCGCCTGTAATCCCAGCTACTCGGGAGGCTGAGGCAGGAGAATCACTTGAACTCAGGAGTCAGAGGTTGCAGTGATCTAAGATCATGCCATTCCACGCCAACCTGCACCACAAGGGCAAAACTCGGCCTCAAAAAAAAAAAAAAAAATTCTTACACACAACAATAGCATAGAAGCCGAGAGGTGACCAAATGTAGTTAAATAGTTTCAAGTTTTTGAATGATCTTACATGCAAAATGTGGATTAAGATTCAACAGTGATATACCAAGAATGCATATTATAATTTCAGGGTCATCACTAAAATAATAGATACACAGAAATATATATCTTTCAGACTACAAGAGAAGGAAAGCTGAGTGACTCGTCACTCAGACAATTTGAAAGAAAGCAAGAAAAGAGAGAAACAGGGACATAAAACAGCCAGGATAAGCAAAAAACACATAGGAAGATGGTGGGTTTTTTATCCAAACTTAGTAGTAATTATAAGTGCAAAGAGATTAAATGCCCGAGTTAGCAGTTAGAAAAATTCGCCAAATTAAACTCAAAGGAAGTAGAAGAAATAAAATAATAGGAATAGGATTAAAATTAATGAAATAAGAGATGTAATAAAAAGACTCAACGAAGATCAAATTCTGTTCTTAGAAAAGTTAAATTAATAAACCTCTGGTGAGACTGATCAAAGGAAGGAAAAGGGAGAAGACACAAATGCACAGTATTTTTAGAGGCTATCACTGTAAATCCCGGAGTCAATGAAAAGATAATCAGAGGAGGCCGGGCGCGGTGGCTCAAGCCTGTAATCCCAGCTACTCGGGAGGCTGAGGCGGGAGAATTGCTTGAACCCAGGAGGTGGAGGTTGCGGTGAGCCGAGATCGCGCCATTGCACTCCAGCCTGGGTAACAAGAGTGAAATTCCGTCTCAAAAAAAAAAAAAAAAAGATAGGATATAATGATCAAGCTTATGTCAAAACAAATTCAAAATATAGATAAATGGGAAAATATATAATTGATCCAAAAAGAAACAAAATCAAAGTAGTCCCATTAGTGCTAAGGAACGAGAATGTCTTCACTACTGAGTTCTACAAAAATTTAAGGACAAAGCAACACCACTTTTACAGTCTTCAGTAAAACAGCAAAAGGGTGACTTTTCAGATTACTTATGAGGCTAAAGAAATCTGAATCCCAAATGCTGCAAAGGAAAAAAAGTTTTTTTCCAAAAAAAAAATCTCAAGTCAATTTTGCCATCAAAATACATGCAAAAATTCCAAAAACCAAAATTAGCAATCAGATCCAGCAAAACATATCAAGGCTAACATATGTGACAATACTGGTTTCATTCCAGGAATGCGATGTTGGCTTACTATTAGAAAATCACTCAACTCATTACATTAACAGAGTACAGGATAAAACAATATATTAACAGACGCAGAAAAACATTTGATAAAATTTTTCAACCTCCAGTCATAATAAAAGATTTTCACAAACTTGGGATAGAAGACAATTTCTTTAACCTGAAAGTTTATCTGCAAGAAAGCTACAGGAAACCTATACTTAAGGGTGAGGTTTTGAAGATATTCCTTTTGAAGTAAAGAATGAGTGAAGAATGCCAGCATCCCCACTTCTATTCAACATTGTAAGTGATCCTAGCCAATGCCGTAAAACAAGAAAAAACATAAGATAAAAGGTACATAGATTCATAATGAATAATAAAAACTGACATTACTGATGTAAATATATAGATGAATATCCAAAATAATATACGAATTATTAGAGTTAATCAGAAAGTTTAGTAAGGTTGCAGGATACAAAAACCAATATTATTTCCACATAGCAATAAATAAAAAGTTCAATTCTTAAAGTGTTGCAGCAATAAAGGGAAAGCTTCCTTTTTGCCTCTTTTTCACTTTAGAGGCTTCACTGAAAAACCAAGTCACAAAAAGGCAGATAAATAAGACAAAAGGCAAACAAATTTATTACTCCTATACACACAGGGAAAATCAGAGTGATTGGCCAATATTACAATGGAGAGATGTTTACAGAGCCTTCTTCTTAGAGGAAGGAGAGATGGGGAAGTGAGGATGATTTTAGGGGAATAGTAAATGATTTTCAGGAATTCAGTGTCCTGGAAGATGGTCCAGGACAAAGTCTGTTGGGCCCACAGAGCAGACTTTGTTTGTGACAAATGTCTGCCCGTGTTTGTTGACAAACTTTAGTTTTCCTTCTTATTATACGGGTTCAGTTAATGAGAACTCAGGGAAGGGACCAGAAGTCATCGTTTTCTTCTTTGGTAAGTCTAGATTTAGACAGATAAGGAAACTTCAGGATTGAGAGACAAGAGGAGGGAGAGGAGAAATAACTGTTCTCCCTGGTAGGAGAACTGAAAACTGGTCCAGTCTTTATGTAGGTAGGAGGATAAAATCTCTTCTAGCATCCATTCATCTCTAAGGGCCCTTAATTCAAAATACTCAGTATAATACCATGAAGTTATATTTTGGGATAAAGTTCCATGAGTTCCTGTGTTTGTTATTTGCAATAGCCTTCAAAGATGAAATTCTTAGGAGTAAACGTATAAAATGTCTGTAAATCTCTATGGAGAAATTATAATACTATTGAGATATATTCTAAATGCTAAATGCAGAAATACATCATGACGATTGTTTGGAAACTGAATAACCTAAAATAATCAATTTTCAAATCGATCTCCGATGATTCAGTAGAATGCCAAAGCCCCAAGAAGAATTTTGTGGAACTTGATAAGCTGTATGTAAAATGTATATGGAAAAGCATAGGGCCAAGAATAACTGCAGCACTGCTGACTAGGGGAAAAATGGGAGAGCTTAACTGACCACATATCAAACTTATCATGAAAGGATAGAAATGAAAGCTGTGGTGTGGGCTCTAAAGAAGACAAATTAGCAAATGGAATAGAAAAGAAATCCAGAAAAAGATGCCCACATACAGGGAAGCTTGATTTGTTTCAGAGGGAACATTGCAAAGCAGTAAGGAAAGGATGTTCTTTTCAATTATGTAAGAAATTGGACATTTATGTCAGAAAATTTGAATGAAAAACTACTGGATTATATGTAAAATTTATAGATCTAAATTCACAAGACAGTACAACATTAAAGAAGTTATATGAAGGAATACCCTTAAAGATTTCAAGGGTGGGAAAGAGCTCTTAAACCAAACACAAAACCAGTGTACTCATGAAGGAAAATATTGATAAATTTAATTACCTAAAACTAGACATTTCTATTCATTGAAGTATATTAAAAATGTGACATGCTATAGAATGGAAAATGACATTTGCAAAATATATAACTGATCAAGATCTAGTATTTGTAATGTATAAAAACTCCTGCAAATCAGTTAGAAAAAGGTTTAAAAAGACAACAGTAAACATAGAAAAATGGGCAAGATTTAACTTCAGAAAAGAGGTTATTCAGATGGACAACAGACATATGACAAGGTGTTTAATCTCATTAAAAAGCAGGGAAAAGTAAATTAAATCTCAATGATACATGAGTGTACAGATTGGCACACCTTAAAACCTTTGACAACATCAAGTGTTGGTGAGGACGGAGAGCATAAGAAATGCTTATCTTGTATGGACTGGAGAATAATTACTACAACCATTCTGGAAAATTACGTGCCTTAAACTAGTAAAACTAAGGATTTGTGTTTCCCATGACCTTGAAATTCCACACTGAGTACATACCCTACAGAAGTATGAATTATGTGCACCATAATATATATGAAAAAATATTCATAATAGCACTAATTATGAGAGTCTTAAATTGGAGGCAAAATAAATACCCATTAGCAGTAGAATACATAATTATGGTGTATTTTATACAATGGAATACTTCACAACAACAAAATGAAAATGAAGAAACTGCATATGTTTGTAGCAACATAAAAAAAAACTAAAAAACATAATATAAAGGTCAAAGGCAGAATCATTAAAGATATCATATGATCTCATTTACAGGAAATTCAAAAGTAGCCAAAATTAATTTATCATGTTTGGCAATGCACACATAGGTAATTGTATTAGTCCGTTTTCACACTGCTGATAAAGACATACCCAGGACTGGGCAATTTACAAAAAAGAGGTTTATTGGACATACAGTTCCACATGTCTGGGGATGTTTCATAATCATGAGATTGTGAAGGAGCAAGTCACATCTTACATGGATGGCAGCAGTCAAGGAGTGAGCTTGTGCAGAGAAACTCCCATTTTTAAAGCCATCAGATCTCATAAGACCCATTCACCATCAGACAACAGCATAAGAAAGACCCATCCCCATGATTCAGTCATCTGCCACTGGGTGCCTTCCACAACATGTGGGAATTATGGGAGCTACAAGATGAGATTTGGGTGAGGACACAGAGCCAAACCATATCAGTGATAAAACTCTAAAGCAAAGCAAGGAAATCACTTCTTATAAAAGTTCAGATTGGAATAAATTTGTGGGGAGATGGAGATGTGCAGAGAGGGGCTGACAGTCTCTTTTTTGCTGTGC